GGGGCCGGCCAGGGACCGGTCACGATTTTGCTGCGTGTACAAGTAATGCCCATCTGGATTAAATTTTGATCTGGGCCTCACACCGCTCAAAACGATATTTTTGTCCTAGCACAAAAATCAGTTTTACGCTAAGCGAGTCCCAATCAACTAAGTCGAGGAAAAAGCACAAGGTAGAATGCGGATACGGATTTCAGGTTTGGCGGAAACACAACCATTTAATTGCGTAGTGAACTTGAACTTGAACATAAACTTGATTATGAACTTGAACTTGAATTCAAAGTGAATTATTATACATAAATAGAATTGACATTGTGGTGATGACATACGTAAGAAAAATTCCCATGGGACCTATCCGGTCAACAGTATACAGCAGTTATATATATATATACACGTGGTCGTGACGTTGAGAAATATGTAATCACATAATAGCGACATTACAAGCTGAGAACTAAAAACCACCAAAAGCTCACTAAGATTGTGAGCAAAAGGCGCCAAACAAGGAGCAAAAATGCGACAGAAAATATAGAAATACAAATACATGTACATATATACACATCCAATTACTAGTACAATCCTGTCAACAGGCAAGAGTAAGATTGATATTCGGTTACAGTAGGTACAGGGCTGGTGAAAGTGGGGTCAGTGAAAATTCGGAACAAGGATCTAGCGGGCAGGCAGCGGATACTTTTGTAATATCTGAGGTTTCCAAAATCGGAGAGATGCAGCCCGTCTGCCACGAAATAGTCAGGATTTTTTTGCCATAGCTTACAGTGGCGCCACGTGGTGGTGTTCGGAATGGAATCAACGAGAGGGCGCAAAGTTTGGCTAAACTCCCTAACGCGAGCATGGAAATCTCGCATGTAGGGAGGCAATCGTAGCCGCCAGATCGGTCCCCCCACTATCACCGTGCGAACGGAAGGTATTTCTAGGATGTCTCTCACTAACGACGCAAGTTCATGAGCAACTTTGCGAGGGGATAGGTACTGTCTACATTGGTCGTTGTGTGCGAGTTCGACATAGACTATGTGAGGAGAGGAGGCCCTGAGATTTGGAAGTATTTTAGTACGGTATCGCGGTATAGTACAGCCGGGTAGACCCAGAAAATCAATAGCTACATTTGAGAGCCAGAAATCGGAAGACACAGCCCTTCCGCTAGCCGTAGAAGTACGGGTTTTAACGAATGATTCTAGGCGAGATACAAACGAGTGCCCAGTAATGGAAATGCGAGTGGGTGAAGGGTCCATACTAAGAACAAAAGCAGGACTCACCCCTAAAGTTCTATACAGTGAGTTGACGGCCCCGGTAAATGCGACGAGGTGGTCTGAGACGGCGTGAAGAGCCTGAGGTGTTCTGAAGCGGCGGGTGGACGGCTCTGCGTGGCGGAATAGCTGGACGGTGTCCCCTGCCTCGGGTCTGGCGTTTGTCAGAAAACGGGGGACGGTCGTAAGTTCGAGGAAAGTGTCTGAAAAGTTCTAGGCAGGTGTCCAGGTGAGAGGGCTCCACGTGTTGCAGTGGGTGTACGGCGTCTCAGTCTGCCAAGGAAAGACGGCGCCGGGTGGGATATTAGGGTGGTGGACGTATCCGAGGAGTGGGCGTCAGTCCGGCACGAGGCCGCAGCGAAGTTTTCGGGCAGCCGGCGTCACCGCGGCGCTTGGCGGCAGGGTTGTGGACTACTGGGTTTTTGGAACGTCGGTGGTGACAGTCAAACGGAGGACCAAAGCAATAGGAAAATCGGCTGAATAGCAGCTTGTTAAACCGAGAAGCAAAAAAAAAAAATTGATAAGAGATATCCAGAGTGTAGAGTTGACCGTGCTCTCGTGTGGTCTGGATGGAATGAAGGATTCCTGCTGCCCGTATTTGTTTGTTTGTAAGGCCATGTCAACTCGGCCAATCAGAGTGCGTTACGTTATCGAGGAATGGGTCCCCATATGTGTTAGATTTGGGGCCGGCCAGGGACCGGTCACGATTTTGCTGCGTTTACAAGTAATGCCCATCTGGATTAAATTTTGATCTGGGCCTCACACCGCTCAAAACGATATTTCACTTATAAATACTTGTAAGTTCAGTTGAAAGACAATAAATTCAAATGGTTATACTAATAACAACACAGCTTCGAAACGAAATTATGCAAATAAAAAAAAAAACTTTACGTATTTTATGGATGTAGTAGGTTTCCAAATTGTTCTTTTCTTTGGTACTTTTTAGGATTTGTATGTGTTTATTTGAATGATGGAGCATTATCTGCAAGAGTGGAAATTCGAACTGTCTTCTTTTTTTCAGGCCGTAGAGCAGACGAATGCTGGGATCCCGGTGTGCCGACCAATGGGACAAGAGATAACAACAGTAACTTTACATCAGGACAGACAGTCAGGTACACCTGTATGGCCGGGTATCATCTGTGGGGAACTGCCAATATAACCTGCCAGTCTAACTGGACATGGAGTGATGCTACACCAACTTGTGAAGGTATTAGAAATGCATTATTGACATTTATAAACCAAACTAAATGGAGTCTAAGAAAGAAATAAGAGAAAGAATAAGGGACTAATAAGACCGATAAGGGACTAATGCGGCATTGAGTCCTCTAGGGATTTAGTGTACCTTACACACTGATGTCAATATTTAAAGAAATTAATGATTGTTCCTGATTATGTTTCCCTCATCTAACCTGAATATAATCTCATAATTGTCTAATCATAACAAAATCAGCTTTAAATCGCATGTCACAGGAAGTAGAGATAAGCCATGTATTATGTAAAGCTGTTATCTTAATGTTATAAAAGTGCAAACACATCTGTCACCATATACAGATTGGTTGTCACATAAAGAATGGGCAGGGTGCAAAGTAAAGCATCTTTATAGATGAAGCATGAACAGTAAAAGTAAAAAGTTGACACCTCGGCAAAAATTATCTGTCAAATTCACAAGTTCCTCAGCAGTACAGTTGCAAATTTTCTGTTATTGATATACACTTTCAATATATATCAATAGACACTTTCTTCGCGTTATAGGTTTCACATCAATCTGGTGAATTGCGGCACTGTCGTGACTCTTTGGTCATAGTTACAGGAAGCGGAATTTCTTTTTTTTCTAGGAACAGGCCAAAATCATTGCGCGCGCAGACGTCATCCATAAATTTTACTTGGTATGGCCTTATTGGCAATAACAGGAAGGAATCTATTAATTTATACCTCCAGGGTTAGTATAGTATTTTAAAACTTATTACGATATGGTATCACACCAGCTTCGCAGGCACGCGGCGCGGCGGCAACTTGCTATATCACACCGAACGGCTTGTTACACTCAATCTTTGCACATTTGATTGCAGGAGCTGTTTAACCCTAAACAGTACACTTGGGGTCCGTGCGGACCCCAGCACTATATATTCTGTAATTTTTTTTTTTGTTTCTTAAGATTTTTTTCTGAAATTTCAGGTAATTGTAACCCACATAGTTGTCCCTCACTCAGTACAAAAAACTCAGTTTCCCCCATTTCTAAAAATTTTCCGCGCGGACCCCAGCGGGCTTTCTATCGTAATCATACACTGGCGTTCTTATACAATACTTTATTTCCGTTTTTATATGTATAACGGTCTTATGGCCACCGACTTTTCAGAGAATGGCGTAATAATAGAATTACATTCTAACAACTTTGGTGTAATTATGACGTCAAATGACGTCAGAGCTAATAATATGGTCCGCCATCTTGGATTTTGACCAATGACGTCATCAAATTAGCATATATTATTAATATTAAATGATTTAACTTATCTTTAATTATGTAAGATGTTATTAATGTCAGAAAGGAACAGTTATTTAATATAAAACCCAGAAAATTTTAATGTTTAAACCAAAATTACAGATTTTTCCAATAAAACTGCCTGTCAGAAACCCGTTGCCATGGCAACACAAGAAATCATTAACTTATTTAACTAAAATGATTTTTTTTCCAGATACATTTTAGAAGTTTCCACTAAATTTGATGGTTCTTGCTCAAACCGTTTAGGCGCTATTTGAGATTAAATTTGGCGCGGGCCTCAAAAGACCATTCGGTCTGAATAGGGTTCAAAAATCGGGTATTTCTTCTTTTTGTCTTTTCTTCAACCAAAAATAGGAAAAGGTCAAAATGTATGATTTTTGTACATAATGTGGACTCAGAGGCTCACACATCAATTTTCAAAGCAATTGAGCTTGTATCATGTTGATAATTTCTAAAAATTAGCAAAAAAACTGTCTTGGGGTCCGCGCTGACCCCAGGTGTACATGTTAATCAGTCCGGGAAGGTGTTCTGTTAAAGCTTTTCTAGTGATGATGCCCCAACTGTGTTTGGTGGCAACGAGTTCCAGTCTATGATAGTTCTGGGGAAATACGAGTTTTTGAATACTACAATTCTTGGTTGATAACTCTGATATTTAAAGACATGACTGTTTCTCGTTCTTTTCTGGGCTGGTATCAGATACTTAGTGGTTTGTACGTCCACCTGTTAATTAATCGTTTTGTACATCATGCACAGTCTGGACATTCTACGTCTGTCTTCCAGTGACCCCCACTGTAGGTTTCTTTTCATTTCCGTTACACTAGCGCCCCTTTGATACCTGTTCGTACAGAATCTTGCAGCTTGGTTCTGTACCCTTTCCAGTTTATCTTTGTCTTTCTTTGCATATGGATCCCATACAGTCGCCGCATATTCTAGGTTTGGTCTTACAAGCGACGTGTATGCAAGTGATTTTACCATTGTTGGACAAGATCACAGATTGCGCCTAATCACTCCAGGTGTTTGTTTGGCCTTCGCAGTGATGTTGTTAACATGCGTGCCCCACTTAACCCTATCTACACCGGTCGGGGGGGGGGGGGTAAAAGTGCCCGCGCCAACTTTGATGTAACGTAGCGTCCGAACGGCTAGCGCTAGAATGGCTAAACTTAGTAACTTTTCCTAGAATATTGTTGGCAGCAATTCTCTATTATTGGAATAAGATAATAATTTTTGTGTGCCATTGCAACGGTTTTGTGACAGGCATTTTATGCTAAATTAAAAAAAAAATTAGTTTTAACAATAGAATTTTATTGGTGTTATGTCAAAATACACATGATTTCTAATAATAATAACATCCCAGATAATTTTAAGTAAATTTTATCATTAAAATGCATAATTTATGCTAATTTGATTACGTTATTGGCCACAATCCAAGATGGCGGACCCCATTATTAGAACAGGTATATACAGGTTATTTTCCTTAAAATTTTATCAAAACTTCCATTACTTTTTCCAAAAAAAGGTTCATATGAGCATCTTTATGTAAGGAGCCCGCCCTATCACTATAATTGGCGTCGACAGTCGATCACAAATAATTAAGAGTGACATATCTTTATTAAGCACAGCACGACTAACAACCGGCGTACCTCGTCCTTGGGCCGGCAGTATAGTATTACGTTATATTGAAATATCTGATAAGTTCCAGAGATCCGGCCAGTTATGAATGAAGTCTCTTATAGGGTTCAGACCCTACCGGTTATTAGTTCTGATCTGTCCCACCCCGAGAGTGTTAAGTAGTTATTAGCTGGTGTAAGGCACTTGTTGTAAGGCGCTGAGTAACTGACGAGACGGGAGAGTCCCTCGTCCCGACCAGGGCAAACTCTACTCCGCATGCAGCCGCTAGCAAGCTTGTTCTTTCTCCAAATTTGATACGTGATTGATACTAAGGATGGGGACAATGTTTTGAAGGGGTTTCACCGCTAGTAACTTTGATTCTATAAAGGACATGAACTCGAAAAAGGTTAATCCAAAGGTTAGGTCGTGATCCCAGGAAAACAAGGATTTAATAAACTAGAACTCATGTTTCTCTCCCAAATGTCTATTCAATTGATAAGAGACTTTTGATTTTGATAAACGATTTCTGTCAAAATACCAGAACTCTGGCCAATCGGCTATTACAATTTTTGATGAGAATAACCAAATTCGGAAGAGGGAGGAACCCCGATTTTGAGGAACTAAAGGGAGGAAAATTGTAGGAATCGAGGAGAAAGATATAACTCCGTCGGACTCTAAGAACCCGGGAACCCTGAGTCATCGTAGTCAACATGGGCCACCGAACTTAGAACTTGCCGGTCCATAATCAACCAGGGGTTTTCCCCGAAGTCCGCGGAGCAGGAATTGGGGACTACCGTCCCAACTACTGTTACTCAGCGCCATATCGCGGGTGTGCTTCGCTATACCAACTAGGGCCTTCCGCAGAATAAACCTGTCCCATTGCAACGAACTTGTCGGAGACTCCGTGCCTTCCGTCGACGTCACACACAGCAACTTTAACGGCTCGGGGGACTCTGTCTAACGACTGGAAGCTACGCCAAGCCTTACATTTAGTCTGTTTAAAATGTATTTTAGGCTGTTTAAAATGTATTTTAGGCTTTATCCTGAAAAAAAATATATATTTTTGAAAATTGAAGATGATCCAAAATGGCGGAAAACTTAAATATGCATGACGTCATGACGACATAAAATCGTAGATATGATAAATTTTTACTAGTAAACCTCCCTCTGAAAATTTGGTGGTCATACGACACACCGTTCTCCGACCCCCCCCCGTACATTTTTCAGGGTAAAACTACATGAGATATTTGCTTTGTCATTCTTGCAGCGTGTTCAGATCTTTTTGTAAAAGGTGTGAGTCATTCTGTGTAGACAGCTCTACATACAACCAACAGTCATCGGCAAATAATCTCAAATTTGAATCAAGCTGATTTGGTAGGTCGTTAATATACAAGAGGAATAGCAATGGTCCCACGACAGTTCCTTGTGGAACTCCTGACGCTACTGTATCTGGAGCCGAAGCCTTCCCTTCCACCACTACTGTTTGCTCCCTGTTGGTTAGAAAAGCTTTTAACCAATTTAGTGTTGTTCCTTTAATTCCATAATACTGCAGTTTTGTAGTACGAAAGACCATAGGAACAAAACGTTAAACAGACGACAAGCTTAAACAGACGACGAGCTTAAACAGACGACGAGCTTAAACAGGCGATGAGATTGCTTAAACAGACAACGAGCTGGCTGAAACAGACGACGAGCTTGCTAAAACAGACGACGAGCTGGCTGAAACAGACGACGAGCTAGCTTAAACAGACGACGAGCTGAAACAGACGACGAGCGTAAACAGACGACGAGCTTAAACAGATGACGAGCTTGCTGAAACAGACGACGAGCTGAAACAGACGACGAGCTAGCTGAAACAGACGACAAGCTGAAACAGACGACGAGCTAAAACAGACGACGAGCTGAAACAGACGACGCGCTGGCTGAAACAGCGAAGGAGCGACGCTCCCGCTCCAAGGCCGGAAACCCTGGCTCGGTGTATAGTGTACGGTCCCTTCTGAGTGAAATCAGATGCTGTCTATGGCCTTAAGACGGAATCAGTGAAAGCGCCTTGATGATATGAATGTTAGACATCCAGGTAAACAATACTCATAGGAAAT